GTATAGGTGACACGTACAGTGGCCTGCTGCTGCTGTAATGGCCACTGTACTGGCGACTGGCTGCTGTAAGGTACGGTACAAACAGGGGACAAAACAGACCACCGAAAAGCCTCGAAACCTACCACAGAAATCATCAGCTTACTCGACCGCTACAGCAGTAGACACATTAGGGTGTCGATAGTCACCTCAAGGATACTCGGAGCAAATACTCGACCCCCAAATCCTCATACTTGCTGCTCGAAATTGCCTGAAAGGCAGGAGGGCAAATGTGCCTGCATTTCGCTGACGTACAGCTTCCGCTGACGTACAGCCAGCCCAGTGGAGCTGTCGACAAAACCATTTCTTCAGCTTCGCGCCATTTCCGATCTCGCTCCAAAAAAAAGTTGAACCCCACCATCTTCCTCGAGTCACCTCTAAAGCTAAAAATACATATCCAGTTGCCCTCGCACCAATTGTCGAGCTTCTTTTCTGTATCCCTCGTCCTTATCTTTTTGCTCTACACGACTTTGCAGATCCTAGCATCTTTCGTCGCACAAACCGATTCCCTAAAACGATACACAACATGGCAGAGCTGCCGGATCCCACTACAGATCTGGATTGGTCCGGGTATATCGGTGCCATCCACGAGCTCTTTAGCATTAATGCCAACAAGAACCCCAATGCCACTTGTGTGGTAGAGACCAAGACTTCGGAAACGCCCGAGAGGCGGTTTACCTACAGGCAAATCTTTGAAGCCTCCAATATCCTCGCCCACCATCTTCACGAAGCCGGCGTCACCAATGGCGATGTCGTTATGATCTGGGCACACCGCTCAGTCGATCTCGTCATCGCAATCATGGGAACTCTGGTATGTCGACTCGAATTTATCTCAATTTCCATTTGCAACTACGGCTGAAATTCTCGTAGGCCTCGGGTGCTACCATGAGTATCCTAGACCCGTTATACCCTCCCACCCGACAACAAATTTACCTCGAGGTTGCGCAACCGTGCGCATTGGTCAACATTGGCAAGGCAACCGATGAAGCTGGACCTCTTGCCCCCCTTGTACGCAACTACATTGACCAAGAGCTCACCCTCAAGACCGAGGTGCCCTCGCTTCGAATCCACGATGACGGCTCCCTCGCCGGCGCTGAGGCCGGCGCTCAAGATATATTTGCTCCTGTGCGCAGCAAGGCAGCGCAACAGCCCGACGTCATTGTTGGACCGGACAGCGCAGCTACTCTGTCCTTTACATCTGGCACAGAGGGGCGGCCAAAGGGCGTGCTTGGCCGTCACTACAGTCTGGCAAAGTACTTTCCGTGGATGTCGGAAAGATTCGGCCTCTCCTCCGAAAGCAAGTTTACCATGCTCTCGGGAATTGCTCACGATCCCATCCAAAGAGATATATTTACGCCTCTGTTTCTCGGCGCCCAGCTTCTTTGCCCCTCCAAGGAGGACATTCAGCATGAGAAGCTCGCCGAGTGGATGAGGGAACACGAGCCCACAGTCACTCACTTGACCCCAGCCATGGGTCAAATCCTCGTCGGTGGTGCGACTGCCGAGTTTCCCTCTCTTCAGCGCGCCTTTTTTGTCGGCGATGTGCTGACCACACGAGACTGCAAGAGTCTTCGCCGCCTCGCTGAAAATGTCTTCATTGTCAACATGCTGGGAACCACGGAAACGTCCCGCAGTGTCAGCTTCTATGAAGTCCCTTCTAGAGCCACCGACCCGGATTTTCTGGAAAGGCTTGGAAAGGACATCATTCCAGCTGGCCGTGGTATGAAGAACGTCCAAATTCTTGTGGTACATCGCGAGGAGCCTACAAGACTTTGCAAGGTTGGCGAAGTGGGCGAGATTTACTTCCGTGCTGCTGGTCTGGCCGAGGGATACAAGGGCGACCCCGCCAAGACGGCTGAGAAGTTTGTCGACAACTGGTTCATCGACAATAGTGTCTGGGTCGAGGCTGATAAGAAGGCGGCCAAGAACGAGCCCTGGAGAAAGTACTACAAGGGACCCCGCGACCGCCTCTACCGCACCGGCGACCTGGGAAAGTACCTAGAGTCGGGTGACGTCGAGTGCACCGGCCGCGCAGATGACCAGGTCAAGATCCGAGGCTTCCGTATAGAGCTCAACGACATTGACAGCAACCTGAGTCAAAGTCCCCTGATTCGCGACTGCAAGACTCTAGTCAGACGAGACAAGAACGAAGAGCCTACCCTTGTTAGCTACATTGTCCCAGAGCTAAATGTCTGGCCCAAATTCCTTGAGTCGGTCGGCCTGCAGGATATCGAGGATGAGGGTGTCGTGTTTGGCCCTACGCGCCTCTTTTTCAAGCGTTTCCGTCGCATGCAGACCGAAGTGCGTGACCACCTCAAGGATAGACTTCCTATCTATGCCGTACCCACTACCTATATCGTTCTCGACAGGCTGCCGCTCAACCCTAACGGCAAGGTGGATAAGCCTAATCTGCCCTTCCCCGATATCGTTGAACAAACGGAAGACGCCACCGAGGAAGACCTCAAGCGTTGGGACACCTTGAGCGAGACTGAGCGCAGTGTAGCTACCCAATGGAGTGAGATCATCAAGGGTCTCAACCCCAAGACTATCTCGCCCGAGAATGACTTTTTTGATCTCGGCGGTCATAGTCTTCTCGCTCAGCAGATGCTTCTCGTTCTGCGCAAGAGTTTGAATGTCAATGTCTCTATTGGCTCTCTGTACGAGAATCCTACGCTTGGCGGCTTCAGCGCTCAGGTTGACAGACTCATCTCTGGTGCTGGCGCAGAGACGGATGCCGCTGACAAGGCAAACCCTGCGTACGCTCGATCTTTCGACGAGCTCAAGGGGGAGCTTCTCGCCCAATATCCTTCCGCCGATTCCTCCACGATGCGCGCCAATAACAGCCCAACCGTCTTCATGACCGGTGCCACTGGTTTCCTCGGCGCCTACCTCATCAAGGACGTGCTTGAGCGAACAAGCCGCTCCCTTCGTCTCATCGCACACGTCCGTGGCGCGACCGACCCCAAGGCCGCTCTCGAGCGTCTGCAACGATCTCTGGAAGGCTATGGTCTGTGGAAGGAAGAGTGGTCCAACAGACTCAGCTGTGTTGTCGGTGATCTATCCCAACCACAGTTGGGTATCGCAGATGATGCTTGGAAGACGCTCGCCGACACGGTTGATGTGGTCATTCACAACGGGGCCACTGTGCATTGGGTCAAGAGATACCAAGACATGATGGCTGCCAACGTCCGCTCCACCATGGACTGCATGAGACTCTGTGGCGAGGGCCGCCCCAAGATCTTCACCTTTGTCAGCTCCACTAGTGTTCTCGACACCGACTACTACGTCGACTTATCGGCAAAGCAAGTGAGCACCGGACAAGGCGCGCTCTCCGAAGAGGACGACCTCATGGGCAGCCGCACCGGTCTCGGCACTGGCTATGGCCAGACAAAGTGGGTGGCGGAGCAGCTCACACGCGAGGCAGGTCGTCGCGGCCTGCGCGGCTCCGTCGTCCGCCCCGGCTACATCCTCGGCAACTCCGAGACTGGCGTCTCCAACACGGACGATTTCCTGATCCGCATGCTCAAGGGCTGCATCCAGCTCGGCGTGCGCCCCCGTATTATCAACACGGTCAATGCGGTGCCCGTTAACCATGTTGCCCGCGTCGTCGTCGCCGCCTCGCTCAACCCGCTCCCACAGGGTGTGCATGTCGTGCACGTCACCGGTCACCCGCGCCTGCGCATGAACGAGTACCTGTCGCTGCTCGAGTACTACGGCTACAAGGTGCCCGAGGTGGACTACGCCGCGTGGAAGTCTGATCTGGAGCGGTACGTCACGGCCGGCGGCGCGGAAAAGGATCAGGAGCAGCACGCTCTTATGCCGCTGTACCACTTTTGCGTCGACGACCTGCCCGCCAACACGCGCGCGCCTGAGCTCGATGACCAGCACGCGATTCGTGTGCTCAAGGACGATGCGGACAACTGGACCGGTGTCGACGAGAGCTCCGGCTACGGCATCGGCAAGGATGAGGTCGGCAGGTACCTGCGCTATCTCGCCGAAATCAAGTTTGTGGGCTGGCCCACGGGCAAGGGCCGGCCGCTGCCGGAGCTACAGCTCTCGGCCGCGCAATTAGCTGCGGCGGGCGGTGTTGGTGGCCGTGGAGGTGCCGGAAAATAGACGTGATTTCTGAAGAAATTTCCTTGACAGTTACAGCATAGTTTTTAGGATAGCAATGAGTGAACGGTTCAACTGAATTTTGACGCAACGCTCTAGTGATGTTTTTTTTTACATTTATGGCTCCGAGTCAAATCTAGTCGGCTTAAAAAATAGTGATTATAAAACAGGATATAGATTGCTCTCAACGGAAATGAGCATTAAAAGAATACGTGAAGTTGACAGATACCGTGTCGGCAACATTAAACATCAAAAGGTCAAAAGGTGTCAGTCGGTCGTTGGTGGGGGTGGGCCGACGTCACAGCTCTCTCTCTCTCATAAACGCGTCTCCCGAAAAGACGGCGCGCCGGGAACTCGGACTCTTTATCGACCAGCACAACAGCTCTGCTTCCAGCACACACACCACCCCCCTCAAAGAAGCATTCTTTTCTCCTTCGAAACATTCGACCCTCTCTATTTTTATCTCTGTCCTGTTTACTCCTTCCAACAACTTCAACCAGCCACCCCCCCTCCCCCATCATGGACTCGTCCCCCCCGACCGAGGCCGAGCTCCTCACCAGCTTCCTCCTCGACCCCGCGCGCCTGCCCAACATTCTCTCGCCCGAGCAGTTTCGCGCGCTCTTCCCGCGCTCCGCCCGCGCCGCGCCGTCCATACGCAGCCTGTACCTCGACCTCGCCACCCAGCGGGGCCTCGCCGTCGACGCCGTCGCCGCTGCCATTGAGGTCGAGGCGCGGCGCGGGGGGCAGGCCATTCGACGGGAGGTGGCGAGGCAGCGTCGCGATGAGGTGGATTGGGAGGTGGACGGGGAGGTGGAAATGGACCGCGCCGTGAGTCTTTTTGGCCTGCTTTCTTTTATCGTTTTTCTTTTGGTCCTCCCTTTGCTCGCTTTTTCTCTACTGGTTTTTTTCGTGCTATTGAAGGGTTGAAAAGGGAAGGAGGGAGAGAGAAAGAGAGAGAGGGAGAATTCACATGTTGGGGAAATGTTGATTGCTAATGCGAGAGGGGCGATGATACAGCTTTTTGCGGGCGACTCGGCGGCCAAAAAGGCCAAGCACACACTCGATAGTATTCTGCCGGAGCTTGAAGGCGCGGCCGGCGCGGTCGAAGCCGAGATTGCAAAGCTCAGACAGCAAGAGGCAGATCTCAGAGAGACCATTGCCCAGACGATCGCTGACCTGGGCGACCTGCGCACCGGTAGCCTCACGAACCAACGATTACCCGACGAGGTCCTCGACGGCTTGGAAAATCTACAGGAACTTTGCAATCGCAAGACGTGAGCCAACTACAGCCAACCACGACCAATGACACGACTAAACGCGTCACAAAGAACGCCTGGATAACCCAAAATGACATGTATTGATTCCCTATCAGACGTGGCCACATAGCCAACCTAAAACGAGAGACAGGCTGCCGGCATGAATCTAACAAACAACGACTTGAACGTCTCATTAAAAGCCTCCAGACACTGGCCCTCCGACCCAAAGAGCGACTCCATTCGAAAAGGAAAACATCAGTCGTCGTCATTGTCGGCCCTGAATTTTGATTGTCCCAAGAGAAAAGAATAATGTACCGGAAGAAATCAAGGAGCACGCTTCAGCTCCCCTTAAAACGATCAAAGCTGTATTATAGGATATCTCGCGAAAAGAAAGGGGAAAAGGACAGGAAAATTGCATGTCCGATTATTGGGCAGCACCAGGAGCGGGAGCGGCACCAGCACGACGCTGCTGAGGAGGCTGCATGCGGTTACCCATCATGGTGCGACTAACCATGGAGACAATGAGCATGAAAGCCCAGTTGGGAACGAGGCTGAAAGCCCACAGGACGTAGCCGACGGGGAGAGAAAGGCCGAGCTCAGCAATCTTGCCATTAAAGGGGTGGAACCAAGAGTCGAGAAGCTCAAACGACTTCTTGCCGTCGGTGTGGAGAGTAACGAGGTCGTCAGCAGTGGTAGTGGTCATGTTGAGGCGTCTCTTGTAAATGTCAATGGGGGCAGGCTCGGGAAGCATTTCAAAAGCCCAGATGGCGCCGACGCCAGCAGACCACGAGTTGCAAAGCACGCGCTCGTCCTCGCAGTTGACAATAGCCATGTGAGGAGCGTTGGGGGTGATGGAGAAGCGTCCGGCGGTCTCGTTGAAGGCCTTTTCGACCTTTTCACATTGACCTGGAAAGTGGGTTAGCACGCACAATAATGACAGATCCAAAAGATGCATAGAATCTTACCAAAGCAAGTCTTGTTGCGACCAGTGATGAGCACCCACCACTCCTCGGGAGTCTCAGAGCCCGGCTTGACGGGGGCGTAGAGGGTGTCCTTCCAGTTCTCGAGGGTCAACTGGGATATTTTGATCTCGCCAATCTTGGCCTCGGCGGCAGGGACAGGGCCATCCTCGACGACGGGCGAGTCAGCGACATAGCCGGTGAACTTGCCGAGGAAATTTTGGAATTGGGCCTTGTACTGGCCGAAAGGGCCGTCGGCAGCAGCCTCAGCGGCGAGGGCGGGAACAGCCGCGATGAGGGCGGCGGTAGCTAGAGAGAGACGCATCGTGATGGTATATGTGTGTGTTGGAAGCGAGGGGGGCGAGTGATTCGTCGAGGCTAGAAAGTAGCTCGAGAACGCGGAGGTAGAGCAAAGGAAGTAGTAGAGGAAAAGCTAGCTGAATAGGAGAGAGCTATGCTGAAGTAAGTTGATTCAAAGGAGGGGCATGAAGCGGAAGAGAGGATCAACAAGGATTGCGCGAGAAATGCGACGGCTGGAGGGGGGGGGATTCGTGATGGAAGATGGAAGTTGGGGGGAAGTAGGGAAACAAAGGATGAGGCTAGTTGGCCAAGGTGGCCAATTTCGTAGGACTTTGAGGCCGGGGTGCGGCGCGGCGTTGGGGCGCGTCTTATTTCAGCTACACGAGGCTAGGTGATGGGGTACACGAGATTGCACCCAGTTTAGGTGGAAAAGCAAGTACATACAAGGAGATCCAGACGTGGTTTTTAATTTGGTTGGCCATAGGTTTTGGCCGCCTGCGGGGAAGCTCCAGCTTGGTGCATCTGACTAGTTATTGAAGAATGATGGAGACTGACAACGATAATATCTAGTTTTTAGAAAATCAAACTAAAGAAAGGATCATCCATGGATTATCTTTCCGTGTCTTGGAGAACTTTAATGCACGGTGGGTAGGGTAGTAATTGTCACGGTGGTAATGGTCGGCTGGTTGAAAGGAGCTTGCAAACCTCTCGCAGTGAAGCAACCTAGGTACGAGAGGGCAGGCTGAGCGCTCCAAGCAAATTCAAATTTTGGTTAGAGTAAATATCTATCTGTACTTTTATCGCATCATGATACAAGATGCAGCAGATCGCTGGGGTTTCACAGCTTCCGTCTCGGTGGGGCTCACACATGTCTAGGTAGCTATTGCTACCTACCTACTAATTACCTGGATGTCGGCCAGTGCCATGCTCTTCGAAGTTGCATGTCAATACCAGTACACTCAGAGGAGACAGTAGTCGACAGACGCAGCAGAGGCTTTTTGATCCCCCGGCGCTGATATACATTCCATACCTAATAAAGATGGACTCACCGAGCTGTACTGTTACGCCCGCACGCCCAGCAGTACTTCCTGGCTAAGACGCTCTGACATTCCGACCTCGGCACATGAGCTCGTCAATGAGCGTAGTAACATGATCATGCGAGATGTCCTTGGGTCTGCGCAAATCAGCACTGGTATCTAATTAAAAAAAGACGCCGGATTTCGCTACACATGGGATAATTAATAGTCATGCTACGGATAGTTTCAAATTGTCTTTTCTCGGCTTGTTCCTATCAAAATCAAATATGCATGAGTACATGACACTGTGGTTGAACCTTGACATTGATTCTCGGCGCAGCTTGAGCCGAATCTGATTGAAGAGCAAAGACTCATTAAATAGGTCCAAAATCTCCGCTTAATACATTTATCATATATTCAATGTCGCGTACCTAGGTAAGCATCGGTATAAGTGTGCTTGGACAGAGGGGTCCAGCACTTACAGTGGGGCGGCCGTCATTAACACGACCTCTTGACGACGACCTCTCACGGTAAATATGCTCGCGACACTGAAGCTTCATCACACCCAAAACTTGATGCGATGGTATGCTTCTGCTCAGCCATGATCTCCAAACTATTTGCACATATTAACATGCTCTAGTTTACCCCCGTGAACCCGCCAAATCGGAAGCGCCCCAATCCTTCCAACGCGTCAGGCAACGCGTCCCAACGACCGCCGCCCGCCGCCGACGACGCCGCCCGAGCTACGAAGCGCAGCCGGCCCAGTAATGCCGGCACCTCGTCGAACGCGAGATCTTCCGCGGCCGCCCTGCTCCGGGGGCCGAACCCCAGCGTCGCGCAAAACCGCATCGGCGGCCAGGAAGCAGCAGCAGCAGCAGCAGCGTCGACGACGTCGCGGCCGTCGCTCCACGACGTGACGCCTTCGCAGATTCAAAACAAGCCGGCGCCTAGACGGCGAAGCGGCCAGACAAAGACGACGGGGAGGAGGACGACAACGCAAGCAGGTGGCAGGACGGTAGCTACGCAACGACGACCGCAGCAGCAACAGCAGGAATCGTCGCCAGAGGAGCAACCGCTTTCGCGACCACGCAGACAGGCAGACGAAACACAAGACGAAGAAGTGGGAGACTCTGAGGCCGAAGACGATATTGACGACGACGACGGACCGCCGTCCCCGGAGAAACCCTATCCGCACGTCGCGCCCTTTACGCGGCGCGTGCGCCAATCCACCATTGAAACGAAATGGAGCCCTCTCGGCCGGGGTTCCCTCAAAGCGTTGACCTCTATCCTGCAACTCGCCCAGCGGCCCGTCCTCCAACGCCTCACCTCATCCTCGTCCTCGACCTCCGCATCCGCATCCCGCCGCGCCGCGCCCACCGAAGCCGCGCTCCGGCTCATCACAAAACGCGTACTTGACAAGATCCGAGGCGTACCCGCGCGCGGCCTCGCGCCGTTGCCCTTTCC